TATAATTTTGATATGTATATATATATATATATATATATATATATATATATATATATATATATATATACGCTTATAATATTTGAATATATAGTGTGTAATGTCTTATAATGTTTCACTTCACAGTCTTCTTATTTGTACTAGAACATTACAAACGCGCGCTATTTAGCATCTTTATCATTACAATGACCTTTTAAATTATCTTATAAAATTATTCTTATTCTTACTCTTATTTTTGCCTAAATAATATGCTTCTCTTTTTGTCTACCCTTTCTTTTTCCTCTTTCTCCTCTACCCTTCTATTTTCTATTCTTCTATTCTTATAATTTATATCTTTTCTGTATTATTTTCTTCATGAGCTAACTAACGCGATGACAATTACTTGCCTGATAATTTGACAAGCGCAAACGACACGAAGCAAGCTGTAGCTCACATGAAGTGAGCTAAGCAAGAGAACCAATCAGCACCGCGGAAAAACGGCAACAATTAAATCTCTTACATGCCTTTTTTTAGAGTTTGTATTTGTTGCTTTATTTATTCTCCTTCTCCTTCTCTCTATTAACATGCAGAATGAAAAAGAAAACTGGAGATATATTAGGTATACACATTCCATATTATTGATATTACAAAATGTTATTTCACATTTATTAAATATTAATTGTTTTTTGTAGATACCAAAGTACAATGGACCGAAGCAATGACAGTATTGCTGCTGTCAGAAGTAGAGTCCCATGAACAAAATTTAAATTACAAATCACAAAAAGTATTGTGGAAAAATATTAGTGAAATATTAAGTGGAAATGATTGTAATGTGACACCTGAACAATGCCATTCAAAATGGAAGAGTTTAAAACGAAAATACATACAAGTTAAAGATAACAATAATAGTTCTGGTGTGGAGAAAGCAGCATTGGATGTATTATGAGAAAATGGATAATCTCTTGAGAAAAAGGCCTAAGATTCATCCATTGTCTGTAGTTTCAAGTTCCAGTGGTTTTCGTATCCTGACTGCAAACAACGAAAATGGTAAATGTTCATCAATGATACATGAAACTGATAACAAAGATGTACTGTCTCCAATAAACAGAGATGATGCTAGCACATCTGTGTACACACCAGCCCACAGAAGAAATCGTAATCAATCCGGACCGTATTGGGCTCGAGCTTTAGTAGAGCAACGAGAGCGTCATCACCAAGAAAACTTGGATATGAAAAAAGAATTTCTCAATCTTCTTTTGAAAATGTTAAAACAATAAGCGTAGATAACAATATTGGTTTGTAGCTAGCAACAACAAACGTATGTTCAGTTGTTATATGTGTGACACTTTTTACTGTGTTGTGCATATATATATTTTTTTTTACCAGCTACATAAAAATATTGCTATGTACGCTTATTAACTGGATTTTTACAAATGATAAAGTTATTATTACTAATTGTTTAAAAAATTGAGTCTTTTGTTTCTTAATATTTAAGTAATTGAAAATATTTCTTATATGCGTCTTAATTATTAGTTATTTTAATTCTACTTTTGTGTTACACTTCGAAATTTTATATGTATAATAAGAATTGAAGTATAGTGAATTATTCATTTCTTATGAAGAAAAGACTAATGTTTCAGTATTACAGTTTATAATTTAGTATTACAGTTTATTATTACATTTATTACAGTTTATTATTACAGTTTCAGTATTACATTCAAAGTGATTAATTATTAAACATTATAATATTTATTTGAAGTTTTACTTTCAATTATAGATATTCATATTGTATTTATTTGTCACAAATATGTATGAAAAGTATATTTTTTTTATATTACGAAAAGTATTCATTATCTTCATGACGTAGTGCAATAATTTACTTATTACATTTTATCTATACTTTTGCATCTCATATGCACGTGTGTTCTCTTTTTTAATAAGTATAAATAAAACTAAAACGTATATACATATATATATATATATATATATATATATATATATATATATATATATATAT